CTCTCTCTCTCTCTCTCACACACACACACACACACACACACACACACACACTCTCTCTCTCTCACACACACACACACACACACACACACACACACACACACACACACACACACACACACACACACACACACACACACACACACACACACACACACACACACACACAATGTGACTCATAATGCGAGAGTGGGGCTATTGGATGCGTTCATGCACACTGTACTCTGTGAATGGACTAAAGCTGATGTATCCAAACTATTCCATGCATCCATTTACATTTTTCTAAAGCTTATCATCATCAAGCAAGAGCAGCACGTCAAAACTACGTCGATATTACACCAATGACTCAGGATACCAACAGGAGCAATTACATGGCTATTGAAAGTCTACCCAAGGAGCGGTTTGTGACAGAAAACTACTCATAAATGACTACGTGTTTAATACATTTTGTGTAGGAAGCCAATTACAACAAATCTCTGGAGTTAAGTGAAAACATAGTTCAACTGGGATCTGTTCACAACTATGCAAATACTTTTGGTTTTCAAAGTGTTAGATTTAAGCAACACAGATTCTCACGCATTTTATCTATGTCTTCATTTCATTTGCTGTGCGATTAATGAATATATCTGTGTAAATATGCCCATTACAAGTGGACAGATTGTCTGATATTCACCTAAACACCCTGATCTGTGAAACATATGGCAGGTTATCTGCTGCATCACATTAACCTCATTTGATTTTGTTTTCACAAATCTGATAATAATCCTGTTGTTTTCGCCTCTTAACGGCAACATCTGAACAGTGTGCTCGTCACTAAATGTGTCACCATTACATGTGAGACTTGGGATTTCAAAAGTCTTCTGGTGTGGTCCGAGCCCTGCAGAATAATACATGTAGTGAATTGAGGAATTCCCAAATGAGGCTTAGAGTTAGCGGACCAACGGCAGAGCCACCTCTCCATCTCAGAGGGAGCATCTTTCAAAGATCCCACACACAGCAGCACCGAGGCTTTGATGGAGGCAGTAATGAATATGTAACACAGTCCTTACAGCGCTTTGTATGTGGGAGCTTTGTGTAAGAAAAAGAAGTGTGTGTGCAGGGGGTGAGAGAGGGGGCAAAGGGTTTGGGGTTTAAAGGGCGGAGTTCGGGGGTTGTCTGGCAATATACCGCTGCATGTCTGATACTGTGAAAAAGTTATTGTAAAAAAGGGGGCGGTCCTAGGATAATCAGCCGAGTGTGCGTGTGTGCATCTCGATGGCGCGCTAGGCTATCCCCGCCTGCAGCAGGGTAACAGATGTCTGCTGAGCGCAACTGGTGTCTCCGCTTGACACACACACACCTCCCTGTCTCCACACAGCCAACAGAGCGAGGATAAAGACGCAGCAGGACGGACTGTCTTTGACACACACACACATCAAATGTGAAAGTAGCACACACACACATTTCCGAGGATAACATCTCTAGCTACCGCACTATTTGTTTCCTCCAGCCTCATGTGACCCACATAAGAGCTTTTTAAACCAAAAAAAAAGTCAACACACGCCCATCCCCCCGTCAATATCTCATATCAACAAAGATACCACTGTTGGAAATTCAAGCAACTGCAGATAGAAGTTAGGCAGGTGTTATCCTGTGCTAAGCTCCTATGACTTTGGGCAGCACATTAAACATTTATAACGCTTTCAAACTTATTTTATCTGCAATACTTCACATCCAACACACAGACAAGCTGGACTGCACCTTATTTTCTTAATTCCGAACTTAACGTGCAATTTACGCGACTCAGGCATATTTAAAATTCCCTAAAATATGGTATTTTAGGTAACCTGTAATGCAGGTATTGCATTTTATCACAACGAAAGCCCCAGTGAGGTGACATTGCTTTTATAAAAAAAAGATCAGAACTGCCAAAATGTAAAGCTAAAAAAGGTACAATTTCAGAATGAGAGTGAGGTTAAAAGCAATTAACACTTACCAGAGCTTAAAAGATTAACAAACACAGAAGAAAGGGACTTTTTTCAGCTAATTTCCACACATTAAAATCCTTGGAGAACCAGATTATGGTAAACACTGCAGGTGAAAGTCCTAAAGTTCCTGCAGAAGCTACATCCAGAGCACCTCTGTCCTCCTGTCTGAGCCTCCCAGCGCTGCCTTGTTTTTTTCCTTTCACAGAAGCAGGCAAGTTGGACAATGAGTGGCAGAACAGATGGAGCAACAATGTCTGCCATTCCCTCATTTAGAGTGGCTGCTTTTCCACCAATCAGAGCGCAGCGACCTTACAATGAGGTGCAGAGGCGGGGAGGGGGCGTCACCAAAAGGGGCCAGAGAAACGAGCCGTCGGACGACTCGTCTCACACGTACACTTCGCTCGCCTCGCAACACACGCGCGCCGAGACTGGGCAGAACGCCCTACACACGCCGAGGAGGCGCCACGAAAAGGGACAATAAACGACCAGTCGACGGGACGCGCTACACCGACACGCCCGCGGCACGACACGACGAAGCAGGCAGGAAGCCCCCACCACACTCCCCGAGGGAGCGCCACAAAAGGGGCAGAGAAACGCCGCGGACGACGCGTCGCACCACGTACACGCCCTCGGCAACGACCTCGACGAAGCAGGCAGAAGCCCCCACACACTCCAGAGGGACTCCACCAAAGTGGGCCAGATTAAACGACTTCTTGACTGTACTCGCGCACAGCGTACACTCCCGCGCACGACCTCGACGAAGCAGGCAGGAAGCCCCACCACACTCCCCGAACCCACAAGGGGCCAGATAAACTACCTGCGGGACTGACGCGGCGCACCACGTACACCCGCTCGGCACGACCGCGACGAAGCAGGCAGCAAGCCGCCACACACGCCCAGGGAAGCTCCACAAAAGGGACAATAAACTACCGGCTCACGGACGCGTGCACACCGTAACGCCCGCGGCACGACCGCGACAGCAGCAGGAAGCCCCACACGCCCCGAGTGAGCTCCACAAAAGGCCAGATAAACTACCGTCGGACGGACGCGCGCACACGCGACACTCCCGCGGCAACGACCTCGACGAAGCAGGCAGGAAGCCCCCACACACTCCCCGATTTACTCCACAAATAGGGGACAGAGAAACTACCGTCTGACGACTGGCGCACCACGTAGCGACGCCTCGGCACGACCTGCGAAGCAGGCAGAAGCCCCCACACACCTCCCCCGGATGAGCTCCACAAAAGCGGCCAGGATAAACGACCTTCTGACGGACTCGTCTCACAGCGTACACGCCCTCGGCACGACCTCGACGACATACAGAGGAAG